ACAGGCCGCCGTACACCCCCCCCCCCCCCCCCTGTCTTCCAGCTTGCTGTGGTGAGTGTCACTTTCCACACGCCGGAGGAATGTTCGCTGGGTCCATCCCGCCTCCTTCCTGCTCCAGCCCCCGAAGCCGCAGGAACTAGCCGGGCAGTCCGGTCTGGTCCTGCCGAACGCGCCCGAGAGCACAGCCCGCCCCCGCGCGGGGGGAGCGCACAGAGAGAGCGGGAGGCCTCTGGCGCGCATCTGCGCTGTATCCTGTGTAGGAGGGCACTGCCCGAAGAGCCGGGGCCACGGTGCTCTGGGACCCTTCTTGCGCTGAAGGAGGGAGCAGTTCTGCAGTTGTCCGTCCAGCTACCGCCCCTCCCCAGTGCTGCAGTGTCTCGGGGGGGACTAGGAACCCAAAGGCAGGCAGGGCAGAGGTCAGGGCCTGGAAGAGACTGGCCCTCGGCCTGCACTGGGCAGCGGGAGGAGAGGAGGGCTGGCGGGGGCCCTGTGACACGCGGCCCGTGTGGTTTAGACGCTGGGCGCGGAGGCGGGGGGCTGAAAGGAAGGTAGCTAATGGCATCCCCAGCCCTGCGCGGGGCTCCCACCTCCTCCAGTGCAGCGCGCGCAGGATGGCCTGGCCCCTCCCGGCTGGGGCGAGCATCTCTGGGCTCTGTCTGACGCCCCCGGCCTGTGCCTTGCTGCAGAGTGCAAGTGTGGGCCCGTGGACGTGCTCTTCGTGCTGGACAGCTCAGAGAGCATCGGCGACCAGAACTTCCTTCTCGCCAAGAATTTCATCATCAAAGTCATCGACCGGCTGGTCAAGGACGAGCACGTGAAGGTGGGTGGGGCCCTGGGCGTGTGCCGAATGGCCTGCGCGCAGGGCAGGCCGGCCCTGGAGATCACTGCGGCGTGCGCCCGGGGGGTTCTTTCCCAGCCTTCCCTGAGTCTGTGAGCCTCCCTAGCTAATCCACTTGTGGCCAAGTATCAGAGGGGTTGCCGTGTTAGTCTGAATCTGCAAAAGCGGCGAGGAGTCCTGTGGCACCTTAGGGTCTGTCTACACTACCACCCTAGTTCGAAGTAGGGTGGTTCATGTAGTCATGCGAACTTGCAAATGAAGCCCGGGATTTGAATTTCCCGGGCTTCATTTGCATGTTGCCGGGGGCCACCATTTTTAAATGTCCGCCAGTGCAGACTCCGTGCCCACGGCTACACGTGGCACGGACTAAGTAGTTCGGACTAGGCTTCCTATTCCGAACTACCTGTACGCCTCATGGAACAGGTTCGTGCCACAGGACTCCTCACCGCTTTTGTGGCCAAGGTGATGCCCAGGGAGGGGCCACTCTCCTGTCCCCGGAGAAGCAACGGGGGCCTCTCCTGCGCAGCGGCGTGTCCACGTGAGAGCTCCCGTGGCTGCGGAAAGCACTGCCCCCCCGCTCCAACACATCCCCATGTGGGCGGGGCAGACTGCTCCAGAAGAGGGCTGCCCGGTTTCATTCGGGCGAGGGGCGTCCCTGGGCCTGGGGCTGGACACGGCGAGACAGTCTCACCCGGCCCTGCTTCTACCCCTGTCTGACCCTTGCTCAACAGTTTGAAGCCGGGGACTCCCGCGTGGGCGTCGTACAGTACAGCCACGGCAACACCCAGGAGCTGGTGGCCATGGGCGACCCCAACATCAGCAACATCGGCGCCTTGAAGGAGTGAGTCCGCAGCCTGACATGGGGTTCGGTTGCTGCTCAGAGTCCCAGCCCAGGGCCGGGGCAGGGCCTGTTTCAGCATCTCACAGCCCTGGGCAGCCACATGCTCATTGCCCACTCCTGGGATGAGG